TGGGATTCGGGCATGCCACCACGCCGGCTTGAGTGCGTCGTTCGGCTGATGCGTCGTTCCTGTGCTTGTCCAACCGACCCCTCTTTTGTGTTTTGGCTGTAACCCGGGAGTGGCATGCTCAGGGTGCTCACGTGCGTCCAGAGAGTCCAGGTCACAGGGAACTGAGGTCTGGTAGAGAAGAAAGTGGACTTTTTATTCTGTAGCTGTGTTTGAGGACGAAGTGCAGGCCTCGCATGCCTGGATGGGTATGGCTTAGCTTTGAGCAGAAAGGAGGTGCTTTTTTTTTTTTTTTTTGGAGAGGATTTCTCTCTGTCACCCAGGCTGAGGGCAATGCGCGCAACTCGGCCTCACCCGACTCCACCCCTGGTTAAGTGATTCTCCTCCTCAGCCTCCCGAGCAGCTGGGATTACAGGGATGGCCACCACGCCCAGCTAATTTGTATTTTTAATAGAGATGGAGTTCCTCCATTGTCAGGCTGGGTTGAAACTCCGACTCAGGTGATGCCACCTGCCTCAACCTCCAAAGGCTGGGATTACAGGCGCTAACCAGCCGATGCCCGGCCAAAAGAGGCATTTTAAAAGGTCGGGAGGAAGCTGAGGAGGGTTGGGGGGGGTCTCTGTGTCTTATCTACCTGGAAGTTGAGTTGGCATCTCCATGGGCAGAAAGAGGCTGTGAAGGTGGCCGGAAACTCCAGCACGCACACTTTAGGCTGTAAATCAACTTGTCTCTTGAGGCAGCCTCCTGCGGGCAAGAGTTCTGCTCTGAACCTCTAAGCACATGAGCTTGCCCTGTAGGAAGTGTCTGGTGAACAGGAGGTGAAAGGCTATCATTGCATTTCTAAAGAAATAAGAAGTGAGGAAGGAGGAAGGAGAAGAGAAGAGAGAGTAAAACATAAGTGAACTATCATTTAGGAGAATGGGAGTCGTTGCTTACACATTTCGCAAATCGATGTCCTGTAACTCCACATTATCAGAGCTTTAATCAACTTACTTGCAGGTGTCACTCATGGTGGCTTTCTTCCTTGTGTGTTTTCTAAGTTTTCACTGTGAGCTCATTTACTGGAACTTTTTCCCTCTGGTGACCTAGGGCCCGCGCATCCCAGCAAAGTGGTTAAAGAATGATGCTTTGCTTCTGCCAACTAACTACAGATAGAACTCACTAGGGATAGAACTCACTAGGGCTAGAACTCACTAGAGCTGGAACTCACTAGGGCTAGAACTCATGAGAGCTAGAACTCGCTAGGGCTAGGACTTGCTAGGGCTAGAACTCACAAGAGGTAGATCTCACTAGAGGACCTGGAACTCGCTAGAGCTGGAACACGCTAGAGTTAGAACTCCCTAGAGCTAGAATTCGCTAGGGCTGGAATTTGCTAGATCTAGAACTCGCTAGGGCTAGAACTCACTAGGGCTAGAACTCACAAGGGCTAGAACTCACAAGAGCTAGAACTCAAAAGAACTAAAACTCACTAGAGGATCTGGAACTCGCTAGAGCTGGAACACGCTAGAGTTAGAACTTTCTCACTAGAGCTAAAATTTAATAGAACTATAACTCACTAGGGCTATAACTCACTAGGGATAGAACTCGCGAGAGCTAGAACTCACTAGAGCTAGAAGTCATGAGAGCTAGAACTCACTAGAGCTAGAACTTGCTAGAGTTAGAACTCGCTAGAGTTAGAACCAAGGGCTAGAACTCACTAGGGCTAGAACTTACTAGAGTTAGAACTCACTAGGGCTAGAACTCACTAGGGCTAGAACTCACGAGAGCTAGAACTCGCTAGAGCTAGAACTCGCTAGAGTTAGAACTCACTACGGCTAGAACTCACTACGGCTAGCACTCACGAGAGCTAGAACTCGCTAGAGTTAGAACTCGAGAGCTAGAACTCACAAGAGCTAGAACTTACTAGGGCTAGAACTCGCTAGAGCTAGAACTCACTAGGGCTGGAACTCATTAGGGCTAGAACTCACTAGGGTTAGAACTCACTAGAGTTAGAACTCACTAGAGCTAGAACTCACTAGGACTAGAACTCACTAGGGTTAGAACTCACTAGAGCTAGAACTCACAAAAGCTAGAACTTACTAGGGCTAGAACTCCTGAGGGCCAGAACTCGCTAGAGCTAACACTCACTAGAGCTACAACTCGCTAGAGCTAGAACTCTCTAGGGCTAGAACTCACTAGAGTTAGAACTCACTAGGGCTAGAACTTACTAAGGATAGAACTCACTAAGACTGGACCTCACTAGAGTTAGAACTCACTAGGACTAGAGCTCAATAGAGTTAGAACTCACTATGGCTAGAACTCACTAGAGCTAGAACTCACTAGAGCTGGAACTCACTAGAGTTGGAACTCGCTAGGGCTAGAACTCACTAGGGTTAGAACTCACTTGAGCTAGAACTCACTAAGGTTAGAACTCACTAGAGCTAGAACTCACTAGGACTAGAGCTCAATAGAGTTAGAACTCACTAGGACTAGAGCTCAATAGAGTTAGAACTCACTAGGACTAGAGCTCAATAGAGTTAGAACTCACTAGGACTAGAGCTCAATAGAGCTAGAACTCGCTAGGACTAGAGCTCAATAGAGTTAGAACTCACTAGGACTAGAGCTCAATAGAGTTAGAACTCACTAGGGCTAGAACTCACTAGAGCTGGAACTCACTAGAGTTAGAACTCACTTGAGCTAGAACTCACTAGGGTTAGAACTCACTAGAGCTAGAACTCAAGAAAGCTAGCACTTACTAGGGCTAGAACTCCTGAGGGCTAGAACTCACTAGAGCTAGAACTTGCTAGAGCTAGAACTCACTAGAGCTAGAACTTGCTAGAGCTAGAACTCACTAGAGCTAGGACTCACTAGAGCTAGAACTTGCTGGAGCTAGAACTCACTAGGGCTAGAACTCACTAGAGCTAGAACTTGCTAGAGCTAGGACTCACTAGGGCTAGAACTCACTAGAGTTGGAACTCACTAGGGCTATAACTCACTAGGGTTAGAACTCACTTGAGCTAGAACTCACTAAGGTTAGAACTCACTAGAGCTAGAACTCACTAAGGTTAGAACTCACTAGAGCTAGAACTTACTAGAGCTAGAACTCACTAGAGCTAGGACTCACTAGAGTTAGAGCTCACTAAGGCTAGAACTCAGTAGGGCTGGAACTTACTAGAGTTGGAACTCACTAGAGCTGGACCTCACGAGAGCTAGAACTCACTAGAGCTAGAACTCACTAAGGTTAGAACTCACTAGGGTTAGAACTCACTAGGGCTGGAACTCACTAGGGTTAGAACTCACTAGAGCTAGAACTCACTAGAGCTAGAACTCACTCGGGCTAAAACTAAGTTCCTAGATCACCTTCAAGTTCCAGATGCATGAGACGCTCAGGCTTTGTTTCAAGGTGACTTTCCGTTTCTTCCCAGAGTCCAGAGGGACAGACAAGCTGCCTTTCACCCTTTCTGGCCACTTTCCCCGAGGGGCATCCTTTGGAGGGTCTCGACTTTCCAGCCTTTCCTCCTGCCCCTGTGGGTGTCACACCCTCCTGGACTGTGCTGAGGTCTCCTCACGCACTCACCTGCATGTGTCCGCGGCTGTTCCCAGGTGTTTGTGGGGAGAGCTGTCAGGTGCTGGGAGCCGAAGTGTGCCTTTTGTTTCAGTAAGCTTGCCAAATCTCCGGAGCACGGTGCTTTCAAAGCTGCGTGGCAGCCTCAGGGTGTTGCTCCTGGAGCCCGTGGAGAGCACACCGTCCACATCGCAGGGGCGAGAACAGCACGGCCCACGCTTTTGGCTTGCAGCCTCCCTGGGCCTCTGGGGGCACATCCCGTGGCTGGTGCCAGCAGCTGGGAACTCGCCCTCTTGCCCACCTGTGTGGCTGTAGGCTTCAGGGTAGGGTGTCGGCTGCTGCGCTCTGTCCCGAGTGCTGAGCTGTGAACCTGTCCACCCCTTTAGCTCTTAGGATTCCACCTGCGGAATGACCTGCAAGCATTCATTGTGGTTTGCAGCAAATAGCTGAATGGCTTGCGGGCATCCACAGAGGATGGCGCCGCCGAGACTGCCCGCAGCAGCAAGGGCCGACTTGCTTTAGAATCTTCCGGAAGCCAGAGACCAAAACAGACACTTTGCTTCTCTTTGTCCACCTCTTACCCGTTTCCCAAATCTCCTGCGGGTCAGGGATAGAAAAGTACCTAAAAGGCATTTTTCATTTTGGGCTTTGGTTCTTGCCTTTCAGTTTCTTTCGCCTGCTGAGGGCAGGTCAGGCCCATGTCCCGAGAGCGCCACAGGTGAAGTGACTTGTGAACCTGTGGCTCGGGCTGCGGTCGCCTCCCAGGCCAGCGGCCCTCTGTCTGCCTGGAGAACAGGCCCTCTGTCTTTATGGGATAATTAGTGCAGACAATGGCCACCGCCCCTGGGGGCCTGGGGTGCAGCGGACCAGAACGGAATCTCCTCAGCGGCATGAAAAGTCAGGGAGGCGGATGGTGGCTGAATGGCCACAGTTACCTTCTGAATGGATTAGATTTTGCAAACCTCTCTGCGGTGGGGAGGCCTTGCCAGGAGACTCTGAGTGCAAGACAAAGTGACAGTGTGGTTTTGTGTCTCCACAGCTCCAGGAGGAAGCCTGGCGGGGGTTTGCTGCCCTGGACGACCCCCTGGCGGGGCTTCTGGACATGCTGGAGAGCTGCCGGGGCCGGCGGGGAGAGGGCCCCTCCCTGGAGGCCTGGATCTCCCGCCAGCTGCAGTGCTGGCTACAGGCACAGCCATGCCCGAGCCCTGCCCAGGTGAGCCTGTGGGCTCTGTGACAGTCACCTCCCTTCCTGTCCCTGCCCCTCAGCACAGTGGACCTGGCACCCACCTGCCCAGGCCTCTGCAGCCTGCTGAGCAAGCTGGGGAAGGGCAAGGGGATGCTGGGAGCTGTGGCCAAGACCCAGCCCGTGGCTTCATCCTCAGCCCCATGATAGCCATGTGCTGAGACCAGCCTCACCCCTCCCATGCCCCAGCCCTGCAGGCCACCTGATGCCCTCATGGCCACAGTGGCAGGCACTGCCTCCTAAGCCCAGCCTGCTCCAGTCGGCCCCACAGCCCAGCCACTGGGTGCTACGTCCGGTAAGGCTGGGTCTCTGCCCTTCCAGCACAGCCTGAGGCTGAAGCAGCTGCAGGCCCGAGCAATCCGAGTCCTCACTGAGAGCCCCCCCAGCCTTGTGGCACCGCTGACCAGCATCTTCCAGCTGCAGGATGCAGACAGGAGCTGCCTGCTGGTGCACGTCCACCGCCTCCACCAGGAGGGCAGGTTCAGAGAAGTGAGTGGACCACATGGGCGGGTCCACGGGGAAAGGGCTTATCAGGCGGCGGGACAAGGACATGCCTGGCTCAGGGCCGCCTCTGTGTGGGGACTGTTTGGGGCTTCTTTTCTACATGGGGGTATCCAGGACCCGGCCGTGGGCAGCCATCAGCTGTACGTGGGGTGCCGGGTCCCAGGAGCCCTCAGGCTGCCTGAGCCAACAGACACGTCAGGGCACAGCCTGGTCCCAGGCCTGGGTCTCCCCCTGCCAACCCTGTGTCTCCCGGTACCCATCGGGCCCTCACACTCACAGGGTCCTAGGTGGGCCTGGGCCTGAGCTTTGGTCGAGCCACACCCCACCATGCCTATTAGCCTCCGTCCTTCTGGAACCTTCACAGGATCACCCAGGAGGCTGCCCTTTGTGGGTGAGTTTGTCTCCTGGGCATTGGGGGCTGACTGAGTCCCCAGCACGGCAGTGAGCGCCCTGGAAGGAAATGCTCCTGGGAGGGGCTGAGCAGAGGGGCTGTGGGAGCAGCTGGTGCTGGCCCTGCCGCCCACAGCACCCCCAGAGTGGTGCCCACTCACAGGCCCAGTGTGGGCAGTGCCGGCACCTGGGACACAGGACCTGGTTCAGGGCCAGGGCACCAGTCGCGCCTTGGAACGGTCACCCAGGTGCAAAGTACGTCCGGTCAGTATCCAACCCCTCATTGGCTGCTGGCGGGAGAGGTGGCTTCGGTCCCTTGCTGTCCAGGACCAGGTCTTAAGCAGTGTCGCAGAAGCATGGGGTTGGCAGCTAAAGATGTCTGGATAAGAACTGGTGGAGCTTCTGGAATCATGGTGGTTTGCTGAGTCTCCTTTGTGAACAAGGCTGACTTTTAAGCCCAGAAGGTTTCAAGAGGAAGACCAGGTACTAGCATCGCAGCCCCGTCGTCCTGAGTCTGGCCAAGCTGTGCCTTGGGTTTGTGTGGAGCAGTAGGGAGCGGCGGGGCCTGCAGTGGGTAGGGAGGCGGCCGTCTTGCGTGGGGTGGCTCTGAGCTGTTCCCGCAGGTGCAGGGGTGCCCCCATGACTTCTCGGTGCCCTGAGATTGCAGATCCCAGTGCAGATTCCAGGGTGCAGCAAAAGGTGCAGCAAAGAAGCCCAGGGGTGTCCTGCCAGGGGATGTCCTGCTTGGGGGTGCCTGGCCTGGGGGTGCTCGGCTCAGGGTGCACTGATCGTGTATGAGGAGGCCGGCACTCGGGGGCATTGGTCCGCCCCCCACCCCGTCAGGGTCCCCTTACTTCAGGGCGGAGCATGATGGGTACCACCCCGCTGCCTGCCCACATGGGACCCTGCTGCTGAGGCTGTCCCGCTGGCCCCCCGGATTCCTCCTCAGCACGACCCCTCACTTCGAGCAGGTGCATCGGAACCTGGGCGCGGGCACTGGGGGTTGCCCTGGCCGGGCCCTCACAGGACTGTGCCCTGCGTCGGCCATGCGAGCCCCACCCCCAGCACGGTCGCCTGCCACCCCCGGGCCGTCGTCTCGCGGCGGGTGCATGGCGCTGAGAAGCCACGATGGTCGGGCACGGGACAATGCAGGATGGAGGGTCCCGCTCATGTGGCTGAATGGCGGCCGTGCCTGCGGAGAGTGCAGGGAGGCAGAAGGCAGGCTAGTGTTTCGGGCCGTCTTCTGTTACAGAGCCTTTCAAAGACTGTCTGGGGCCGGCTGAATGCGCCTCCCTCGCACTCCGAAGCAGGAATCCCCACACAAAGGGGGTCTTGTCCCGCACAGGCCCCTTCTGCGAAGAAAGCCATTGTCCCCGAGCGGGGCCGCCCGGCAGGCAATGCATGCTCCACTGCTCACCGCCGCGCCCGGCCGAAAGGGGCCGCATTCAGGCCTGTCCGCTCGGATTAGCCGGGACTCACGACTCAATGTGCTGCGATATTTCATGTCGAGGGCAGCGGCTGGCCTGGGCGGGATGAATGCCTGCTTTTGTCCGCTGAGTTATTTTATTTACATTTTTTAAACAGCTTATCAAGGTAAAAAGATAGCTTTGCTTTAAAAAAAAAAAAAAAGGCCCTCTTGGCTCCAGGCCCATGCAGAGGTGGGAGGCAGGGCTGTCGCTGGGGTCCTCGGCCTTCCAGCCTGGGCACCTGCCCAGCCTTCCTGCCCCTCAGAGTGGGGGGCCCAGGGGAGCCGGGGAATGCCCTTCCCGATGGTTGGCACCACAACCCCTCCGGATTTTCTCTCTCTTTTTTTTTTTTCCCCTGAAAGCAGCAGCTCCTGGGCCTGCCTAGAGGTTTCTGCAGCCCCACCCCGACCCGGCCAGCTGGACAGCCTCATCTCTGTCTTCCTGGTGGATGCCTCCCATCCTCTGGCAGCAGCGGTCGGGGAGGTCTGCCTGGTGCAGAGGGGCCCAGTTTGCCCCATCTGTCCTCGTGACCCAGCCCCGGGCTCGTTCCTCCCATGGGGTCCAGGACCCTTCACCTTCTGCTGTCTGCTCCCTGGGCCTGCCTCTGGGGCCAGGTGACCTTTTTGTGGCTGCTGAGTTTCCCAAGTGGCCAGGCGTGAACAGTGGGCAGCTGTACGCCATCCTCTCAGGGAAGTGCAGACAGAAATGACCAGACACTGATTCTGAGCCAGGCACCACCGCAATGAAGGAGCCGTGCAGGGCCCCCGAAGCCTGAGACGGGGGTCCAGCCAGGGAGCTTCCTGGAAGGGGTGGGTCTGCTGCTTGCCACCCCCAGCCCTCCACCCCTGTCACCAAGGCTGCCCATGAGGAAGCCTGGGCTCTGCCCTTTCCAGGGTGGAGCTGAGGGAGCTCCATCCTTGTCCTGTCCCCTGAGCTGCCAGGTCACAGAGCCTCCACCAGGCTCCAGGTACAAAATACGGACACAGAGGCTGGGGGCCCCAGGACCCCTGCATGGCCAGAAAGCCCACCTGGCCTCAAGAGGCCCCGGGTGCCCAGAGAGCTCCTGCGGGCCTAGAAAGAAAGGTCCGGACACCTGTTAACCCTGGGCTCTGAATGGCTGTGGAGAAGAGAAGGGCTGAGCTGGGCACCTTGAACCCCCTCTGATGGGGTTGCAGTGTGCAGGACAGGGAGGCAGAAGCCGCCCAGCTGGGGAACACAGCCCGCACCCAGCCCTGCCCAGGCTCCTCCCCAAGCCTGAGGCCTCCTTGTTGGGCTCAGAGGGGTTCCTGGATGGGCGGGGCCCGCCGAGGGCTGGGACCTGGAGCCTGAAGTCTGTCCTCAGAGGGAGGCCAGGGGCAGCAGCGGTGAGGAGAGGCCCTGGCCACCTGCCCCTTGCTGTGCCCCCAGCCTCCCTGGTCCCAGTGTCACCTGCTGAGGGCCTGGTCCCAAGGACGTGACGGGCGCAGTCCCATCCTCCACCCCGCTGCACCTGACAATGCCCACATGGGGCAGGAGGAGCAGAGCGAGGGTGGGCTGTGACCACCCTGTGGTTCTGAACGCGGTGAAGGTCCAGGCCTGCACTCCTGCCTTCCCGAGCTCTGGCAGCTTCTCAGGGGGTCCCTAGTCCAGAAGGGGTCAGAGCCCTTGTGTGAAGCTGTGGGTGTCACTGCTGGGGTGGTCCCCATGTGGTGGCCCCTGCGCCCATGCACGCGGCCCTAAGCTCACCTCCCAGGCCCTGCGCCCCTCCCCAAGTGGTGGCCCAGTGCCCCTCTCCAGCCCTGCGCTCCTTCCCACGGCCCTGAGGCCCTTCCCCTTGGCCCTGAGACCCCGCCCCGGGCCCCGCGCTCCTCCCCACAGCCCTGAGACCCCGCCCCGGCCCTGCTCCCTTCCCCACGACTCCGAGACCCCCACGCCCCGGCCCTTGCGCCCCTCCCCACAGCCCTGAGACCCCTTCCCCGGGCCCTGCGCCCCTCCCCACACGGCTCTTAGACTCCCCCGCACCCAGCCCCGGACCCTGCACCCCTTCCCCCCGGCCCTGCGCCCCTCCCCACGGGCCTGAGACTTCCTCCCCGGGCCAGGCGCCCCACCCCACAGCCCTGAGGCCCCGCCCCGGCCCTTCGACCCTCCCCACGGCCCTGAGACCCCCCGCGCCGGGCCCTGCGCCCTGCGGGCCTGGTGGAGGCCTAGTCTCTTGGACCCTGGCCAGACAGTGGAGGCGCCGGGTCAGCGCTGCGCAGGGAAAGGCCCCCGGCCCTGCGCCCCCACCCTGTGCACCGGGGCTGGAAGCCGGGCTCGAGGCTTTCCCAGGCCGCTATTTTGGTCCTTTCTCTGGGCTGCGTGGGGGCAGGGCGCCGATGCTCCGCGGGCTGCTCTCGTGGGTCATTTTTGCTGGTTATGGGAGCGCGGCTTATGGAAATTATTAATAGCAGCTCAGGCCCGCGGTACGTGCAGGCGGTCAGGGCCCGGCCGTGCCCCGATGGCAGCCGTGTGGCCTTGGGGCGCTCGCGGGGTGCCCGTCTCCCGCCTCGTGGGAAGGGCTAGGACCCCCCAGGCCTCGGGGTGCGCTGAGGCTGGGAGTCCTCGGTCTTGGCCCCTCCACTGCAGGCACCATTGTGTTCTGGGCCCCGCAGATGGGTCATGTGGAAAGTCACGGCTTTGCCCTTGCCCTGACCCCACCTCCTATCCTTCCTCCAGCTCATCAGCAATTCCTGAGCAAGGCCCTGGGACCCAGGCTGTGTGGCCAGCACCCCCATGAGTCCCTGCTGCCCCAACCAGGCCAAACCAAGGCCTCCCACCTGTCCCAGCCCATGCAAGGCCTGGCTCACCACAGGGGGGCTTGTCTGCCAGGCCCGGCCCATCAGCCTGAGGGCCACGTGGCTGGACACGGGAAGGCCCTACACTCCGCCCTCAGTGACCAGGCTCCGGTGCAAAAGGGTGGTAGCCCCCCCAACCCGTGATGCTGCCTCGCCCACTCCCAGGCCCTGAGTAATCTGCTGCCTTTGTGTTTGCCAGGCAGTCATGCTGGGCACGACGTTGAAGCTGCAGCCAGAACTTGATGTTGAAAAGGTGAACGTCTTTCTCATGTAAATTGTTTGGGTTCAAACTTGGATAATGCCCAGGTCTCTAGAAACAGTGTTTGGTGGAGGTGGGGAGTCCACCAAGCCACAGGGGGGAGAGCAGGGCCATCGGGGACCGGGGAGGGCCTCAAGAGCCCCCTAAACCGCCATCCTCCTCGCGGGCTGACCTCAAATCAGACGTAGCCGCACATACAGGCACCCTGTGTCCGGCTGTGCCCCAAAGCCCTGAGTGTGCACCCTGCAGCAGCTGGGGCCACCCCTTCCCTGGAGTGGGTACCAGGTGCCTTAAGGACACACAGCCCATGTGCTTCTGGGACCCTCTTCTGCCGCACATCTCCATTGCGCAGTGGCTGGGGGAAGCAGTCACCTAACTGAATTTCTGGACAGATGACACAGTCCTCGAACCCACAGTGTCTTCAGGGATGGCAGATCCAAGCTTCTACACTGGGAATCTGTCCCTGTCACAGGGACGCAGGTGGAACCTGCTGGTTAAGCAGGGGTGGGGCGGGGGAGGGGGGTGAGCACCACTCGGGCAGAGCCAGGTGGGGACAGGATGCATACCGGTCTCCCTAAAGAGGGGGAGGTTGGGGGGGTGTCTACACCAAGGCTTTCGGGGCTGTGTTCTGGACGATGGGTGCAGACTCTAGGTCTGCAAGAGCTGGGGCCAGAGAGGACTCTTGGGGCTTCGGATTCTGCCTGAGGACTGTGCCCCAAGGCACTGGCGGGCAGGTGGGCCCCATGCGGTCAGCGCCAGGCAGCCTCACCTGTGGGGCAGAGGCGGTGGGGGAAGGGAGGTGAGGAGCCTTCCTTGAGGGGCTTTGTCTGAGGGAACTGGTTCTTGCTGAGGGAATGGCTGGTGTGCCCCAAGGCCCAGCGCCACAGCCAGGGACTCCCTCAGGGCCTCCTGAAGGCACCGACAGTGTGTGGGTCTTGCAGTCCTCCTCGGGAGGCAGTGCTGGTATCCTGTGCCATGAGGAGCATTTCCGGGCTGCCAGGGCTACTGCCGGTGGTTTGTCTCGGTCCTGCCTCCTCACATTTGGTGACAAATGAGCTTCCCCAGGGCGCCCCTTGCCTCTTAGGGCCTCCAGGCCTTCACCATGGAGATGGGGATGGCCACAGAGCCCACCAGGAGCCTGGGGTGGGTGTGTGTGAGCGCCAGTTCAGGCTGGGCGTGCACTGCTGGCCCTGGACGGCCTCCAGGGCCCTTTCGTTCCGATACTTTGGCCGCTCTCTCTGGGTTGGAGGTGAGTCAGGTTTTGGCTGAGGTGGTGGAGGCTGTGGCCTGACCGTGTGTCCCCCTGCAGATGAGCGTCCCACTGCTCCTCCAGGACAAGGTGGCCCTCGTGGAGCGCTACGTGGCTGGCTTCCCCGACCTCCAGAGGAGGCTGCTGGCCCTCATGGATTCCTGGTGCCAGCCCGGCTTTGACATCAAGGACGTTGCCAGGTGAGTCCCGCGGGGCACTGGCAGCTGGCACCAGATGGCATCCTGGGAGCCCTGGTTAGGGAAGGGAGTATGAGGGGGCAGCAGCCATGTGGGATGTGAGCTCTCCCCAGGAGGTTCTGGTGTTTGGGTCACAGCTACCATGTGACTGCAGCCGGAGCAGCTGCCTCTGGAGAGGAGAGGCTGGGGCTGGCAGCAGCACAGCCCTCTTCTCCCAAGTGAAAAGAGTTAACTGCTCTTAGAAGAACAAAAATAATTCTCCACAGTGGCTCTTCTTATACAGACACGGCCACCATACTGCTTATTTGTTCATTCATTCCTTTGTTCTTTCATCTAATAAAGTTTTTGGAAGCACTTGGTGTGTGACATCTGTCAGCAATTACAGAGAAAAGGCAGCACCTGACAAGGAGCCCATATGGTGCCTGTATGGATTCAGGGAAACCGTGTGCCTGTGTGTGCATGTGTGTGTGTGCATGTGTGTGTCTCCGTGTGCACATGTGATATGTGTGTTTGCACATGTTTATGTATGCCTGCAGGTGTGCATGTGTGTGCATGTGTGTGTGCATGTGTGTACATGTATGTGTGTGCCTGCAGGTGTGCGTGTGTGTGCGCATGCATATCTGTGTGTGCATTGTGTTCATATTTGTGCAGGTGTGTATGCACGCATATGATGTGTACGTGTGTGTGCCTGCAGGTGTATATGTGTGTGTCTCTGTGTGTGCATGGTGGTGTGTGCGTGTGTGCGCATGTATGTGTGCCTGCAGTTGTGCGTATGTGTGTGTCTGTGTGTGCATGTGTGTGTACATGTGTGTATGTGCATGTGTATGTACCTGCAGGTGTGCGTGTGTATGCATGTGTGTGCATGCGTATCTGTGCATGCATTGTGTTCATGTTTGTGCAGGTCTGTATGTATGCATGTGTGTGCGTGTGTGTACGTGTGTGTGCCCACAGGTGTACATGTGCATGTCTGTGCATGCATGCGTGTGTGTACGTGTGTGTGCCTGCAGGTCTGTACATGCATGTGTGTATGTACGTGTGTGTGCCTGCAGGTGTACATGTGCATGTCTGTGCATGCATGTGTGTATGTACGTGTGTGTGCCTGCAGGTCTGTACATGCATGTGTGTGTGTACGTGTGTGTGCCTGCAGGTCTGTACATGCATGTGTGTATGTACGTTTGTGTGCCTGCAGGTGTGCATGTGCATGTCTGCATGTGTGCATGTGCGCGCGCGCGTGTGTGTGTGTGTGTGTGCATGATATGAGGGATGACATCTGGGAGGGGAGGGGCTTCCTGCTGTGTATCTGGTCAAGGTGCTCCAAGAGTGAAGCAAGCTGAAAGGTCTGTGAAGGCTCCAGGGCCCATCCACTGGCAGGCAGATCCTGGCCTCTATGCCCCACACAGCCCCAGGGTCATCTCACTGGAGAGTCACAGGTTTAGACTTGGATGTCAGGCCACCCCGGGCCCATCCTCCTCCCCTTGTCCTCCCTTAGATCAATGGGCAAGTCACTTCCACTTTCTGAGTTCGTTTCCTCATTCACACAATGGGGCTGAGTCCACCTGACTCAAAGCATTGCTAAGACTTTTCATCACAGGGAGCAGGCAGGGCACGCACAGAGCCAGCTGCAGCCGCAGCAGGTGGCACATGTGGTCATGTTCCATCGCGATCAATTCACAGTTTTTTTGTTTTTGTGTTTTTTTGAGACGGGTCTGGCTTCTGTCGCCCAGGCTGGGGAGTGCAGTGGGCCGGATCTCAGCTCACTGCAAGCTCCGCCTCCCGGTTTACGCCCATTCTCCTGCTCAGCCTCCCCTGTAGCTGGGACCACAGGCGCCGCTCGCACCTCGCCGCCGGCTAGTTTTTTGTATTTGTTAGTAGACACGGGGTTTCACCGTGTTAGCCAGGATGGTCTCGATCTCCTAACCTTGTGGATCCGCCCGTCTCAGCCTCCCAAAGTGCTGGGACAGGCTTGAGCCACCGCGCCCGGCGATCCTGTTACATTAAAAAAAAAAAAAAAAGACATAGGGCCGGCCACAGTGACTCACACCCCCTAATCCCAGCACTTTGGGGAGGCCCAAGGGCAGTGAACACAAGGTCAGGAGATCGGAGACCATCCTGGCTAACACGGTGAAACCCTGTCTGTACTAAAAATACAAAAAATTAGCCGGACACGGTGGCGGGGTGCCTGCTAGTCCCAGCTATTTGGGAGGCTGGGGCAGGAGATGGAGTGAACCGGGAGGCAGAGCTTGCAAGTGAGCGAGATTGTGCCACTGCACTCCAGCTGGCAACAGAGCGAGACTCCGGTCTAAAAAAAAAAAAAAAAGGACATACAACAAACAGTGAATGCATTGATGGAGGTGGGAACCAGGGGATCTAATTGGGAAGAAAAGAAATATACATGGAAACTGGGAGGGTAGGAAAAACCCTGCAGTGTTAGATTTCATTGGAGATATTGGTTTAAATTAATGATTTTTTTTTTTTGAGACAAAGCCTCTGTTGCCTAGACTTGAGTGTGGTGGCATAATCTTGGCTCACTGTCAACCTCCAGCCTCCGGGTTCAAATGATTTCTCCTGTTCCAGCCTCCCAGCAACTGGGATTGCAGGCATGCACCCAACACACCCAGCTAATTTTTTGTATTTTTAGTAGGAGACAGGGTTCCACCATGTTGGCCAGGCTGGTCCGAACCCCTGACCTCAGGTGATCTGCCCACTCAGGTGATCCTCCGCGCCTTCAGCCTCCTAAAGTGCTGGGATTACAGGCATGAACCACCGCACCTTCCCTAAAGTAACGATTTTTAAAATGTTTCCTAGCTCTGTGCTCTGAAAGGGCCTGGATGCAATGGCACCCCATAGCAATGGGCATGCCTGGCTGCCAGCTCAGTCACCAAATGCCATTCTCCACTGAAAGAAGCAAGGGCTTTTCAGAGAATAGACTGAGCACAGAAATGACAATGGTAATGGAGTAGAACACTTTGACTTTTAAAAGTCCACGAGTCCACAGTGATGCCCAAGGGAAGCAGGGAGGAAAGCTCTTCTTTACAACATCTTCCAGCTAACATGAAAAAGGAAAGACAGGCCGGGCATGGTGGCTCAAGCCTGTAATCCCAGCACTTTGGGAGGCCGAGACGGGCGGATCACAAGGTCAGGAGATCGAGACCATCCTGGCTAACACGGTGAAACCCTGTCTGTACTAAAAATACAAAAAATTAGCCGGACACGGTGGCGGGTGCCTGTAGTCCCAGCTATTTGGGAGGCTGGGGCAGGAGAATGGAGTGAACCCGGGAGGCAGAGCTTGCAGTGAGCCGAGATTGTGCCACTGCACTCCAGCCTGGGTGACAGAGCGAGACTCCGTCTCAAAAAAGAAGAAAAAAGAAAAAAAAAAAAAGAAAAAGGAACGACAAAATTAAAAATCACCATATTGCAACTCTCCATAAAGTAACTGATTCAGGCATAGATCATCAAGGGATGCTAAGAAAGAAACAGATAAAAATGTGAGTGACCAACATCAAGAATGAAAGGGGGGACATTGTTACAGACCCTATAGACATTAAAGTGGTCGTAAGGGGATATTGTTTGCAACTTAATGCAAACATACTTGACCATTTAGATGTAATAGACCAAATTCCTGAAAAATACAATTTACCAAAACTGACACTAGAAAAAATAGAACATTTAAATAGTCCTATATATCTAGTAAGCAAATTAAATCCACAGTTTAAAGCTTTATCACAGAGAAAACTTTATTAGAACCCAATTGGTTTCAGTAGTGAATTTTTCAAACATTTAAGAAAGAAATTGCACCATGGTTGGATGCAGTGGCTCACACCTATAATCTCAGCCACTTTGGGAGGCTGAGGCAGGCGGATCACCTGAGGTCAGAAGTTTGAGAACAGCCTGGCCAACATGGTGAAATCCCATCTCTACTAAAAATACAAAAATTAGCCGGGTGTGGTAGCTCATGCCTATAATTCCAGCTACTCAGGAAGCTGAGGCAAGAGAATCACTTGAACCTAGGAGGCAGAGGTTGCAGTGAGCCCAGATCATGCCATTGCACTCCAACCTGGGCTTCAAGAGTGAAACTCCATCTCAAAACAACAACAACCGAGTGAGAAGACACCAACAGACTGGGAGAAAATATCTGAAAAAGATGTGGGATAAAGGACTATTATCCAAAATATACAGAGATCTCTCAAAACTCAGCAGTAAGAAAATGAACAACCCAAATTAAAATGGGCAGAGGGGCCGAGTGCAGTGGTTCACACCTGGAATCCCCACATTTTGGGACGCCAAGGTGGGGCAGATCCCTTGAGCCCAAGAGGTCGAGGCTACAGTAAGCTGTGACTGCACCAGCGCACTCCAGGGGCAGAGTGAGACTCTATCAAAAGAAAAGAAAAGAAAAGAAGGGAGTTCCTTTCTATGCTTAGTTTGTTTAGAATTTTTATCAGAAATGTATGCTGGAATTTATAAAAATGACTTTTCTATTGAGATGAACACATGGTTTTTCTTTTTTGATCAGTTAATTTTGGGATAGATTCACTTGGCCATTAGGTATTATCTTTGGGGTAATTTTATTCCATTTGCTTAAATTTTGTTAGGAATGTTTGCATCCATGTCCGTGAGGGATCTTGGTCTGTTATTGTCTTTTCTTGTAATATATGTTTACTTTTGGTATCAGAAAAATGCTTGCCTGATAGAATGAGCTTGGAATTATTCCCTTGCCTCTCAATTTTCTGGGAAAACTGTGTGCAGTTGGTATTACTTCTAACTGAAAACCCATTTCCTTAAAATAGGACTATTCAGATGGCCTATGTCTTTTTGAATGAGCTTTGGTTGTTTTTGTCTTTCAAGGAATTTGTCCATTTTATCTAAGTTGTCAAACTTACTGGCTTGAAGTTGTTCGTAATATTCTGCTGTTACCTGTTTATTATCTGTAGACTCTGTAGTGATGTCAGTGCTCTCATTCCCAGTGCTGGTGATTTGTGTCTTTTTGTCCTGCAGTAATTCTATGATCTATGTCATTTCTAGGTCAGTTTCTACTCATCACAGTTTGCCTCGTATTTCCTCTTCTCTGCATGCCTGGTAATTTTTTTTTTTTTTTAACATAAATACACATCAATACAACCGCTATGAAACAACCTTGCACGCGGGTGCTCTTCAACTGATCTCGAAATCTCCATGCCCCACAGTACTTACAGCAAATACTCATTCCATCTCAACAACAGAAAGACACAACACAAATACACACTGAGTTATACAACACATTACCTAACCAAAGATGCAAGAGAATCTCCAGGAAGAGAAACGGGATGGCACTCACATTCCCGTCCCCGCCCTGGCCCTGCCTGTTTGCTAATCTGACC